GTGCAGATTACACCTGTTTCAAAGCATCAAGTTTCTCAATGCTGACTGTGATGCCTCACTCCCAGGACCCAGATGGCAGCAACCTTAATTCAGATCTTGTTTGATTCATTGTAAGTGTGGAGCAACTCCATTCAAGTTGAGGCAAAACCAATAAATGTAAAGCAGTTATAAAAGTAGAATCAAGCCTCTTCTGGTTCTGTGCATTCTTGTGAAGTAGACCATATTAACTGAGGAACACAAGTTGCTTGTACCTCCACAAGTATGGAGGCTTTCCCGACGGTGGAATTGGTTTAATTGTCCTTAACAGGAGACCATAAAGGGATCCTCTGAAGCTATGGGTGGGGTATGCATTGCCTTCCTGCAAGGAAAATCCTCTCTGTTGGAGCCCCTTATGAGTCAGGGACATGGGTTCTTCCCCTAAATGTAACCTTCCAATCCTGGAGATTGCCTCACTGGCATAAGGGCTATTCTTTCTGCTGGTCCCCAAGCAGACCTGCCCAAAATGTGACCCATATTCAGCCTGTTCACTGCCAGGTGGGCCCAAAACCCATACATTTTAATGAAATATTTCCATAAATTCAGTGTGTGTGTGTGTGTGTGTGTGTGTGTGTGAATGAAGACCCAGGGTCTAAAGCTTCAGATGCTCAGCCTGTTATGGGATGACTTTTCATGAAACTGAAGAACATAAGAAAAATATAATTGAACCACCAGTGTTACAAACAATGTGGCATAGTGGCAATTTTTATTAACTTGGTTCTTATTTCAGCATTTAACTGCAAGTTCAGTTCTTAAGGAAAGAAAAAATCCTTTGGCCCCTCACCAATAGTTATTCAATTTACAGTAATACTTTCATAAAATTCTTGAAACCGATGCAATGAATCCCACTTCTTATTTCACGTTTTGATTCAGCTGCAGAGGATGATTCAGTAAAATATCATAATAAAAACCCACTGCTCTCATTGTAACTGTACACTAGGGGCCACGGGCATGGCAGATAAAAAAAACCCAGGGAGAGTCTTTAAAAGACAAATCCTTCTGTTTTATGTTTAAGTAGATTAATTTGAAGAGTCTACATTTTGCACTTTAGAGGTCTGTTTCCTGCAAAGTGCTGAGGTCAGTGAAAGTTGACGATATTCACCATCTCACTGGATAAGTCCTGGTCAATATAACGATTTACTGAAAATGTATAAGCAATTGGGTAATGGATTTTTAAAAGTTTTATCAAATAAATTCTTGTAGGCACAAAGGCTGAATGTGATGGGGAGAGCTGTGGAGACAAGTTGGCCTAATAATTAAAGCACCTGAGTGGAACTTAAGAACTCTGAGTTCAAATCCTATCAAAGACTTCCTATGTGACATTAAGTGGTTCCCTAAGCATTGATCTAGGAAGGTTTTTGAGCATGTGCCTAGTGGTAAGCATGTGAGTAATCAAATCAAAGTCAATAGAACATCCATGCTCTTAAAGTTACAGAGTGGATGCTCAGTTTTTTTGCTAAATCAGGACTCTAAAATATTTTTGTTACTTCCTCAATGAATTGAGATTACCAACAATTCTCTAATTCAGAAGGTATTGTTAGGGTAGACTTGTGATGGCTTGACTTCCTTTTGCCTTATGGTCCCCTTATACTACTCTGGCCTTAAAGCAAATGAGAATTAGAATCTAATTCATCAACCATTGCAACAATAATGATATTCACCAACCTCTTCTGTGCTACAGTGGTGGGTGTCATATCAGAAATGTATAATGATATCTAGGGTGTGTGTTAGAACACCTTTTGTAAGTAGAAGTTTAACTGGGAGGCAAGTATCAATTTTCTGCATTTTACAGATATGGAAATTAAGGTACAGGAAGGTAAAATGATTTGCCTAAGATTACCCAGTGGGCCAATGACAGAGCCAAGCATAGAAACAATGTCTCTTGGTTCCTAGTTAAGTGCTTAATCTACTAGGGGTCATATAAATATCAGGATAGATAGTGAGTTGGAGAACTTTCTCAGGGCACCACATGATGGCCTGGCTCATTGTGTAATGTTTGTGCTGGTATGTGTATGTTGCTGTGAAATAATTTTAACTGGAAATAAAAACTGGAATCTGCAGGAGGGAGAAAAAGGTGCAGATATATTTCTCAGTGTTGTTTTGAACAAAAAATATAGTAGACTTGCTGTTAACTATAAAAATATAGTTCTGGCTTAGGTTTGCCTTTATTCCTAGATAATTTGACTCTTTCTCTTGTTGTTTTTATCCTCAGAGGTACCAAAAACAGAGAAAACTTTTGAAGAGAGGTTAATATTGAAGGCATTCCTGCTAAAGTTTGTGAACTCTTATGCACCAATTTTTTATGTTGCCTTTTTTAAAGGAAGGTAAGATGAGTTTAAAAATTTTATATTATTTTAAATGGAGTCATACTAAAAACACTGATGGCAGGGAAGAGTTGCAAGCTGGCTTTCACAGTCCCTATAGGAGTCCTAGCATGTGCCTGTCAGTGACCTGAACTGGGTCATTCCAGCCCAAAGCCTTTAAAGGTTGCCAACAGCTGATCTAAACCATTCTAGACCTATCTAGCCTGCTCTTAAAAACTACCCAGGATGGAGATTCCACAACTACTCTATATAATCTTTTCCAGTGCTTAACCATCCCCATAGTGAGAAAGTTAGTTATTTCTGAATATCTAACCTAAATTTCCCTTGTTGCAATTTAGGACTGCTGTAATGAATGAATAGCCCTGATGGGGTTGGGACTAGGGCAGGGGTGGATGAAATATGACCTGCAGGCTGGATCTGTCATGCCAGGCCATTCTCTCTGGTCCACAGGGCCACTCCAAAAAACAATTATTACTGGCCTGCAGCTGCCCCTCTGAATTATGGAATTAGATCCTCACAGTGGGTCAGTCCTCCTATTTATATATTTGAATATTAACCTGAAGAGGGGGAGTAAGTTATTAAAAGGAAAAATAAATGTAAAATTTCCCTAAATTGTCAGAGACTCAAAGAGAGGTCCAATCCTTGAAACTCATTTGATTTAATTTATTCAGGATTGACTAGAGTTTGAGCCACTGGGGTCCTTCTAAAATGCATGATGGAATAACTAAATTTGAAATGCGCTGCTGTATTTGAGAAGTATTCTTTTAACTCTAATAATATATTTTTTTACCTCATTTTATATACTCCCATTGCTAACAGATTTGTTGGCCGTCCTGGTCGGTACGTGTATGTCTTTGATGGTTACCGAATGGAAGAGGCAAGTAGAAAGGAAATTGAATAGAAAATTTTAAAAAGAGATATGGCTGAAAGTGTGTTTCTGTGAAACACACATAATAGTTTAAATGCACTTTATTTGCCAAAATGTTACACCTACAACATAAGAAAGCACTGAGATTCTATTCATCTTAGGCACTTGCATGGCCTCCATCTCCAACATATATGAGCATTTCAAAACCTTAAAATGTGTTTATCCTCACAAAAGCCCATGTGCTAGGAAAGGTCTATTTTCCCCCAGTTCCAGATGAAGTCTATATGCACCGAGCTGATCCATGATCACACAAGAGGTCTGTGGGAGTGTGGGGTGCTGGAACAATGTCTTAGGCTCCACCCTCACCACTAGATTCTCCTTCCTCTCAAAAATATTGATGTCTAAGAAAACTGCTGGTAAGGCATCTAACCACTCCACTCTCTTAGACCTTGAGTCTATGAACATTTACACACAAACTTCCTTTAAACACTTACCTTAACACCAGTAGGATCAATCAAGGGCTTAGAGAGAAATATTTGCAAGATCGAAACCTTTTTGTTTCCATAAGGGAAGCAGTCTGTTGAATGAATATTGTTGGTATTGAATTATATTTATTATATAAATATACAGGAAATATCTTAATATATTGAAGGCTCAAGGTACATTAAGTTATTTGAAAATTTGATATATTTTTCCATAGTGCAATTTATATTGGCAGTTCTGTAATGGAATGGAATGGAACCTGAATGGAATTGGAGTAACTGATGGATTTTTATTTAGAAATGTCTTGGTTATATGGGAGTTATAGGTTCATGTCAATGTATATAGAATGTACAAGCTTTTACTTTTACACAGATTCTTTGTATTAATTTCCTCTTCATGCTGTCCTTTTTATTCACTTACAGTGTGCTCCAGGAGGCTGTCTGATGGAACTCTGTATTCAGCTAAGCATTATTATGCTTGGAAAGCAACTGATTCAGAATAATTTGTTTGAAATTGGAATACCGTATGTATTTCAGCCTTTTTCTATTACCATGCGCTCGTTCTTGCAAGACTGAAAATTAAGGGCCTATTTCTTATGTCACTGAATGAGAGTTTTGCCACTGACTTCAATGGGCTCTAGTGGAATATACCTAAAATGATGATAGATCACATTTCTGGTTGTGATTAAATGACCTGGCTGTATTTTACCTTAAATAATTGGTTCTATCTGGAGTAAATGGCTTAAAGAAATGATTGAATACATTAAATAATTGATCTAAATTAATTTCAAAAGCCTTGGAAAATAGACAAGGTATGATAGATGTTCTGGGAAGTTTTAAAGAAGCTTTCAGAGAGACAGTGTTGAATACAAATTAGTTTAAAGTGGGATGAGGGGGGGAAAAAGCATTAAAAAAACCTTAAAAAAGGCTATTTGATCTCTAAGTATTCCATTGATTTACACACAGCATCTACACATTTTTAATGTGCCCGTCACTCTCTCGGCGCTAAATTATGGGGGAGATCTTGACAAGCTATAAAGCAACTGTCATTGCCATAGGAAACCACTGACAATGTAAGTTGTTGTCTACAAAAACATATGCCTCTGTGAACTGTTTAGTCACCTAGGTGCCACCGTGCCCTATTTTTTGCCATAGGAAGGTTTTTCATAGAATTGAATTTTGGCTTGTGTGTTGAAAATGCTGGGAACTCTGTATCCCCAGTGGCAGGTGAGGCTGCAGACAAAGGTCCTTCATAGAAAATGTCCTACTGCTGATTCCTGAGGCTTCACTTTTGCATTTGTCAGGTGCTTCCTGGCCTGCAGTTGATGGCTGAATTTTCTGCACCCTGCAGAAAGACAGGGTTTTGTGGGTGTAGGTAACATAATAGCTTAGCTTACTGCTTCAGCTCCGCTGAAGTCGTTTAGAGTTAACAAGTTCTGAATTACATCCTTAGGGGCAGTTCTGAAGATGGGGAATAGGAACCTTAATGAGGCTTCTGCATAATTGGGCACCACTGAGAGGAGCTTAAAAACTGTGTCCTTTTTTCCCTTTGGCCCAGCAAGGATTTTTCATGGCTAAAATAAAAGCAAAATATATGGACCTGAATTATTCAAAGCTTGAACGTTCTTTAGTCAAGGTTCACCAGAGGGGCCTGTTTTCTCTCTCAGTCTCATGGAGTTTACAGTATATTCTGAGAAAAGGATGGTAAATTGTTCCCAAGGACTCTGACATGTTGAAACCTTAAAGCTTTCTCAGAGTGAACTTGGTGTGATTTTTCTCCCTCTTCCAAAAAGTTACTGCTACTGGGTTTGTTTAATGGGAATTTTATGATGTTATAAATACAGCATTTATTATCTTTGATTCATGAAAGTGGAGGCTGATCCAATCAAAACACAGAGCTACTGTCAGGTTATTTCTCAATTCCCTGGCTGCACTGCTCAGTGCAAGAATGTGACGACCTCATCCCATTTTTCTCTCTCATTCCTGCTCCCCCTTTGGCAACAACCTACAGTGACCTCATTTGAAAACCTAAATAACTATTTAAAAACAAACATGCCTTCATTGTCCTCTTATCACACCAATTAACAATGCTGCAAACAAGCCTTCACTTTTCTGTTGTATCCTGTTGTAATCCTGTCCCCATTCTCACCTAAACGAATGCAGTCTCTGTCCCTCCAGCCCTTTTTGACTGCCTCCCTTCACCTATTCCCTCTACTCCACTGTCTCCCTGTGACACTCATCTTTCTTTCTAGATCAGCTCTTTTTCATCATTAGGCCTTTAAGTTTCCTACCTTTCTCACTTTGGTCCCCATTCCTGTCTGAGAAAGGGAATGTAGGGAACAATTCTGTTGTGGCTGAGAAATGAGCTCTATAATCTAATGGGCCTTTTTCATCTCTAGCTTTAGCGGTGCTGTAATTCCCTGTTTTACACCTGTCTTGAGGTGAACAAGTGAGTTGGTGAAATGAGTACAACTCTCTCTGCAGCCCCTGGAAAGATGGAAAAAGTGTCATAACTGTGTTCTCCCTTGCAGAAAAGATGTAGCAAATATCACTTTTCTATAGGCATTTGAAGCTTCCCTTTGATTTTTTTACAGGGGATGTAATTCCCTAAGTCAAGTCTCCTCTAAGAGAGGTCTTGTTTCTGACTGAATTCTACAAATTTTCAGAATGATTTCTATGGAGCCCTTTTTGGTTTCACTCCTAATAGACCTGTTTTAGTATTCTTAGCCCCAGTATGATCTGCTGCTTCTCTCACTCAAAAGCCAGGAATAATTGAAATGCCCGTACAGCTGAGAAGGGTACAGGTTAGATCCAGAAGGAATAACCATTCAGTGCATGCACCATGCACTTAAATAGTTGGAAATGTCTGGCTGACATCTTAATTCTACCTTGTCCACAATCAATGTTGATTGAAGGCTTCTGAAGTTAAGTTTCAGTGTCACTCCTGTTTTGTGCAATTGTCGGGACAAATTCTAATCTTGCCTAGTACTTTTACAGAGAAAACTACTACATAGCTATGATAGATGTAACTTTCTGGTTCTCTCTACTTTTCTGTGATTTCTTTTTTCCATTTTGGCGTCCAAGAATATCAATACAACTAGATAAAAGCAGTGACACCAGAATTTTGCTAAGCCTTCTTGAATCACAGCTGAATGTATGTTCTCTGGGGCTGGAATTCACAAGTTTTAACAGATGTAAATATGCCACAATTCATTCAGATGCGTCAGATACCATAATTTTCTCCTTCTTGCCACAGCCACTGACCCTGAAGTGTTTCAGGGTTTGAGAACTCTGCTCTACAGCTCTTTTATGACTCCTTTTCATCAGTTCCATATTCCTATCCATACTGCAAAAATCCATGTGGCTGTTTTATTACCCCCTGTCTCTAACCTTGGTGACAAACCCTTAGGTTGAATCCTGGTCCCATTGAAGTTAATGGCAAAACTCCCATCCACTTCAGTGGGGCCAGGATTTCACCCTTTATATCCAGCATTAGTTTCCATTGCTTCTTTCAAAGTGCACTTAAATATGTTGGATGAGAAAACCAAGAGCCAATAAAATCAATTTCAAGGCACCCGTTCATAGCTGCTGTGCTGTATGGTGCATTTTAGTTCCTAATAAAAGTACTTAATTAATGCTAAAATGTATCTGTGGTTTACAATGGAGTGCAGGCTTGTAATTCTTAAACACAACCAAAACCTCTTTGACTTTAACATTGGGAGTTTTGAGCATGCCTAGGGCACAGGATTGGATGGTAAATATGTAACGCCGTTCAGAGACTATACGTCCATTCCCCCCCATCCTGCTCCTTTCCCCCTTCTGCAGCCCAATTTGGAAATAGTGGCAGATGTGAGTAGATTGCAGGAAGAAAATGAGAGACGTTCTGTGATCTTCCCATAAACAGTTACAGGCAAGGTCAATGGGATCTTTTAGTCTTAGACTGTCCCACCAGACACTCAGGATACCATCCCCAGTAGCCTCCACTGTCTACCATCCTAGATAGGAAGTAACAGCCATAGCTGAGAGGAGTCTTCCCAGCCTCCTGTCATCAATAAACGCTCACTCTTGGAAACATTGGCTTTGTTTTTATTTCCTCCCCTGCTATGTTGCAGATAGTGATTGGTTTCTATGTTAGCTGGTGGTTTCATACAAGTCTTTAACTGCTCTACTACCAGCTCCACTAGCAGAACCAATGGTAAACTGGACACAGAACAGTAAACTGGCATAGCGGTATAGATGCTGGCAACTGATTAACAATTGATCTCCTCTTGTGGCAATCACTGTTGTATTTGATCAATCAATGTATAGTGTGGGAACTGGAGAAAAAGTCTAGTACAGCAAAAGCCCCTATCTCATTCCTTTTCTATTTCTAAATCCCTTTAGCTTCCCATTATGCGTCTTTCCTCTCCCCTATGCTGTCTCTCTTTCTGCCTCCAACTCTGT